GAGCAGGGTTGTTCTGGCTCTTCATGGATCCCTGCCCTGGTCTTTGACTTTGGGTAAGACACTTTAAGTCTCTGGGCCCCAGTTTTTTGTGTGTGTTTTTAGTCCTCACCTGAGAATATGTCTTTATTGTTTGAAAGAAAGAGGAAGGGGAAAGAGAGAGAGAGGAAGAGAGATATCAATATAAGAAACAGGGACCAGTTGACTCCTGTACACGCCCAACTAGGGATGGAGCCCACAGCCTAGGTACGTGCCCTGATAGGAAATCGAACCCTCAACCTTTTTGATGTATGGGATGAAGCTCCAACTAACTGAGCCACCTGGCCAAGGCTGGGTCCCAGTTTCTTTATCTATAAAGTGGGGATTATAACATTTACCTGGTGGGAATGAGCTGGGAATTAAATGAGGAAATTCTGGGAAGCATTTGGTGAACAGGAAGTTTCCAAAAATATGAGTTTAATTTCCCCATTTCCATCTTCTAGCAGATTTAGTTGAACATGTTTACAGGTAAAGAAATTCTAGTTGAATTATAATTGCCACTTAAAGCTTAATAAATCAGCTGAGTGGAGATTTTGATGTGAGCTTTCCACTTCTCTCGAGAGAAGTGGTTCTCAAAGAGCCGTCCCTGGACCAGCAGGTCAGCAGCACTTGGGGACTTGTTAGAAATACAAATTCTCGGGCCACACCCAGACCTGCTAAGTCAGACACTCTGGAAGTGGAGCCGTGATCTGTGTTTTAGCAGGCCCTCCGGGTGACTCTGATGCGTGCTGAAGTTGGAGAACCACTGTCCTCGAGTAAATTGCTCGTTGGGTCAGAGATCAACCCATGGCTCCAGGACACTAGGCATTCCCCACCTCCTGTCTCTGAAGGTGCCTTACTTCCTGCCTTGAATACCTAAGAAAGGAAACTCTTTCTTACCTACTGAAATTCTGCTCATTATTTATGGACTCACTTACATATCACCTCTTCAGAGAATTATTTCTCAGCTCTCCCAGCCAGAAGAATGTAGATCCCAAGAGTGTTTGTCTGTTGCACTCATTTGATAATCGTCAAAGTTATTTTTGCTTTTTCTTATTTTGAATATTCATGTACGGGCCTCATTTTTTTTTTCTACAAGAATGTAAGCCCTTCAAAGGTAGGTATGAAGTCGTGCAGATCTTTTTTTCATCATCAGCCTGAATCCTGGGCTCTGCATATGTAGTGGCTACTCAGTGAATACTTTGTGGACCCACAGAACGTTACAGTTGGAATGGGCCTTGGAGATAGTCTAGATCAGACACTTCTTGTTTATATTTAAAAACCTGATGTTAACACCTGGACCAGAGTGCAGTTTCCATGATTCCCTGTTTCGTGTTCTTCGCACTTCAGCCACAGACTCCAGCCAAACTCAAGTAAAACAGATGGACTTTCAAAGGTATATTCATTTAATTTGTAAACATGGAGCCTTTTAAATTCTTTTATAACTAGTGAGAATTGGGAAAGTTCATGAGCCCATATAATTACACAACAAATAACATCTATTCCCAGTCTTACACGAGAGACTTTTCCCAGTTCACTAATTCAGTATACCTGGGATACCCATGGAACTTCTTTTGGCTTCAAACGTTGCTGTTAGAGGAGAATAAGTGGCTCTTCTGAACCCAAGAAGAGTTGGCACCTGGACTGTTTTGATCTGGATTTCCATCATTGTTTTTTCATGTTGATTTTGAGGGAAAATTGAACTTGGTGGGTTTTTTGAGTTATTGTCCCTCCATGTTATCCTCTGGAGCTCTTCCCTCACACAACCCTTTCTCCTTTTGACAGATTGGCTAATATTGTTCAGCCAAAGATCAAAATAATGGCACAACTAAAAAACCTTTCATCAGAAGCCATCCATAAAATTCCCTTTAAAATGGGTTCTGCTGACAGAGCTCCCGGGATGTTGTGTGTTTGTTCTATTACTTCGTAATGGCACCAGCACATATCCTACTCCAATCAATATAAGAACAGAGCAGGATGCAGGCAATGGGGTGATTCCAGGGCCACTATTAAAACCCAGGTCCACAGAGTTGGCTTCAGAAAAGCTGTGCAGAAAGGAGGAGCTGTGCAGGGGAGACAGAAGCCACCGGAAGGGGTTAAACCTACTGGGCACTTGGTGCTAAGAAGCTGAGCCTGCTTGACGCGTGAGAAAGGGTTTAGAGGAACCAACGAAAGCCTTGAGATTTGAGTAGCTACATTGTGAGAGGACAGTGACAGAACAAGAATAAAGGATCATTTGTCCTCTAGCTTGGCATCTACCATTCATCAATTTGTTTACCACTATTTTCTGCAACAGTCTCTGAAAAATACCTAGTTTTTTTAAGCTGCAGCTATAACATTCTATATAGATCATCAATTTGTTGCTTAAGTTCAGATATGTTGAAGATATATCATCAAACTAATATACACTTTTTATTCTGACACTGTGATGATTATCCTAAAGGTATATCCTGTTATATCAGCTTTTTAAATTTGCAACATAATTAAGTTGATCAGTTTCCCTAACAAAAGGTAAGAAGGACAGAGGACACAGGGACGGAGATGTATGCTTCTGTTAGTGATCCAGCATCTCTGAGAAGTGTGGTCCCAGGAATGTCACCAGTAGCAGGATTGGGGTCATAATGGTAACAAGTATTAATCAGATAAGGCCCAGATACTTTATTCCATTAGTAATTTTATATCTCTGACTAAAGGGAAAATCTATGTGTACATATACATGTACCATGGGGGGGTATATATATATATATATATATATACATATATCACTAGTGATGAAATGATATATAAATAGTGATAATTACTGATACATAATATAAGTAAGTATAATATATAAGCATAATAAATACTAATATGTATATTAGGTACATACAATATATAATTAATTCTGTAATTAATATAACTAATTTTGAGGCAGGAAGATAAAACCTCCTAGTAAGTCAAGAGAGTATCTGGGTAATTGGCTCCTAAGCCCACTGGTATGTCCCAGTTACTCTTTCCTTTGCTGAGAAAACCTCAACCTGTAAGTGAAGTAAATGAGGTCATTCTCCAACAGAGTTCGCCACGCTGCACACAGAAGGTCAGAACTCAAACAAACCCTCAGTAATCCCAGTAGGGAAGGCCTTGGGGACACAGTTCCTCCCAGAGCAGCTCCCAGAGTCCTGGAGGACGCACCAGTGATTTTACACTTGAACGCGAAGGAAGCAGTGGCCCAGTGCCTGGCGGAAGAAGGGCATTCTGGCTGCTTCACTCCTTACCAGCAATGGGGAGGTGATCCCGGTTCTCAACTCCTTGCACTTCCATTTCCTACCCATCAGATGGGTATTTCTGAGGCCCATGAAATGAAATCACAATGGAAAGCACTGGGTAAGCTGCAAACTACTGGATGAATATCGTGGGGGTGTGTGTGTGTGTGTGTGTGTGTGTGTCCAAATACATCCTTTGTAGAATAAGGAATGTTATAAATAAATAAATATATTGCAGAATGTATGTTACCAAGTTAAACAGGAGTTTAGAGAACTGTCATAAAAAGAAAGACACAGCCTAAGGAACTGAAAGTTATATTTGGGTGACAGAGGTGACTTGCTACTAGCAACAAGTCTGGAAACACCGAAGGGGATTCCTGTGTATAAAAGAACAGTGTCCATCCAGGAAATGGATGATGTGCAGAAATGGAGGTAACTAATGAGAAGGCGCTGTTTGCACCATCTGTTGCAAGTGATAGAAAGAAGATATCATTTTACAAACTGTAACTATTTTAGGTACAAAAGGAGGTTGTCCTTGGCCTGGATAATACAGGAGTGTCCCAACAGAAGATCGAGTATCAGTGAGGGAAGAACATTTTTCTTTTATCTGTCCTACAGCTTGACACACTTACAGTCATGCCTTGGAAGTTAAATGATTTATTTAACATTACTTTCCTCTGTGCCAGACAGGTCTTGAATCACCAGTGGACACAATGCTAAGGCAGCCAGGGCCAGTACTGGAGGGCTCAGCGGAGTTCCCTGTGTCAAAATATTTGTGGAAATACGCTTATCTTAAATATAGCCATAAGCTAACCACTGACTGGACCATTTCTTCCCTGAGAATTAAATAATTTTGGCAACAGTCTGTCTCATGTCTGGGAGACATTCCATTTATGATCAAATGCAATATTAAAAGGTTCACTAGTACCTCACAAATGACTGTCTTCCCAGTTTTAACAGTGTAAGCAAGATGAATTTGACATTTTTTAACATCACAATCACTTCCCTTCATAATATGGTCTTAATGTTGATAAGTACATTTTAGATATTCCTTTAACATAGGTAATTTTGTTAAAGGCAATCAAGAAATGAATAAGGAAGGGAAATAATTTCTCAAGACTCTTAGCCTTTCCAGAGCCTAAAAAGTATTTCTTGTTGAGGTCATGCTGAATTGACCAGCCTCTCCCTCCTTAATAGTAACTCTAAAGAAATGCGTTGCTTCCACATTGCTAAAGTGCCCGTCAGTGAAAGGAAGTGGGTGGCTGAGGAGTAGGACCCTGAACGCGGCTGGAAGAGCAGGTTCACAGAGGCGGCAGCATCCCTAGGGTGGGCCTGCAGAGGAGGGTCAGGTGAAGTGAGGGCCAGCGTGGGGGGCATTCGCGGTGGGTTGTGGTGACTAAGCCTGAGAGACCCCTTTGCTGGAGTGCGCTCGCCCCTCGTCGAGCCGGGTCCGTGTGAGCCAGGATTTGCTTAGATCAGCTCCCCTGGCTCCTTGGACAGCGCTCAGGATATGGAACTCCTCCTCCGGGTGAGCTGCGTGCTTCTCACTAGAGAGCATTTAACTCATCCTGATTCACCGCAGGCTTGGGCGAGCTTTCAACCCCTGACAGTGAGTTACTGCTCTGCTAATGACGGAGCCTCGGCGCGCTCCGCAGGCCGTGCCCGGGAGCACTTTGCAAGTGAGAGCGTTCTGGACCTGAAAGGAAGGAGGCGGTGGGAGAGGTGAGCCAGACAGTCTCTCACCTTGCGCCCACGGACTGTGGTGGTAACGGGGCTGACAGAAGCCACCTGCTCTAAAATAGCTGACACGGGCTAATGTGTGGAGCGTGGCGTGAGTCACTTAGCCGAACAGCGACAGGGCGAGCTGAGTGCTTCTGTTTCTGGGGAGGGGCCGTGACCCGGACTCGTCGCTTTTGTTCCCTCGCACCAGCAGCCCTGCACGTAGAAACAGCGGGTCAATGACTGCAAGAGCCTGACGGCTAGGAGGTCTTGTGTACTGTATGCCAAACGCAGGGTCTTTAGGGATGTGCCGGCGGTGGATTCATGGCTTAATCAGACAGACAGGGAGAGCGGCCCCCGCCTCCCCCTTCCTGGAAAGCTCACGTTGGACTGAAGAAACGAAACCTGCAAATGTACACCAGATGCGGCCGGGGCTGATAGCGCGCTTCCCATACTCCGCCGAGAAATAACAAGCGCCTGCTGATTAGATTAAAAATCAAAACAAGGGTTTTCACATTCCTTCTTCTCTTTTCCGACCTCTTAGGTGGCATCGGTTACAACCACTTCATCCAAATATTGTTTCTAATGAGACATCTTAGGAGGGTGGCCATGTCATGTGCTCCGTCCTCTCCCCCCTTTAATAACCACAGAGCGTCTCGGTGGCAGTAAACAGGGTTTTGAGAAAGCCTGCGGTGCTGATGAAAATGAACTTGAGAGATGTCATGGAATTCTTTCGGTCAGCGAGGACAACCTCTAAAAGCCGGGAAATGTTTGAAAAATGCGCAGGCTGCCCAGAGTGTGGTCATGGGGGGTGGCCTGAGGCCACGGCCTTCACAGGGACTCTGCTGGCTTCCCACTCGGGGAGCTTTCCCTCGCACCAGCCCCCAGGGCTCAGCCAGCTGGCAGACTAGCAGAGCCTACCTGTGAGCTAAGGAAATACATGCCTTCCTTCTCCCTCAGCGTTTGCTAGCAATGTGTTCGTGCCTGTGCGCCCTGCGCGCCGCACAAGTCCCTTCTTGCTGGGAGCGCACGTCCCTGCGCCTGTTCACCTGGAGGGAATAGCTAGACCGCGGAGGCCTCGAGGACTACCCCGGCCTCCATCCCGCTAAGGAAACCTTATCTGGTTTCCTCTCTCGAATCCCCTCGTTGCTCAAGCGTTGGCTGGCCCCGTCTATCTTTTCCTCTCCTCTCAGGTATGTTCCCCGCCTGGCACTGCACAGGACTGATTAATGGCTGCTACCCAAAGTTCAGCCTGGCGAGCGAGGCTGGTTAATGAATACACAGACAGCCTCCTCCCTCATGTTTTCCCTCCGGTGTTATAAACCAGGGGAATTGGCTCACGTTTCCTTCCGTTGCCAATCCAGAGACTTCAAAAGTCTTGGCAGCAGCGCAGGTGTGGGGTGCGGGTCCACCCAGGTTTCCTAGCAGCTCCCGCCCTCCACGGAGCGCTGACCTGAGAGCTGGTCCCCTGGGTAATCAGCCCGTGGGTCCTCGGATGGTTTCCGTTGGTGCTGGCTGCCTGTTTGCTGGTCTGAATGATCGTGTTTGCTTTAGTAAATCTATTTTGTAATGTTTCCCCCATTGTTAACCCATTTACCTGGGCCTCCCGGAGTTCATTGGTTGGTGTGTGTTTTCCGTGTAAGCAGTTGTTAAAGGACTGAGTCACCCAGCCGGAGCCGGTGGTTGGATGTGGGCTGAGGTTATTTAGTGACTGATTTCCAAGGGGAGGAGACACTGGCTTATCCTGGGGAGGAGGACTTTTCATCCATGCCCGGGGCAGCTTCTTTCAGAAGACTGAGCAGAACGAGATGGTCTTTACTGGTTGGGAACACAAGCTGGGGGACGTTTCAGGATCTGTGTCCTTTGGGATTTCTTCTCTGAAGAGAAAAGTCTAACATATCCAAGTGTGGAACTGAGGATTTAGATGAAGGCAGCAAACAAAGGAATCATGTAATTGGGAGCTGAGCCAATGCGATTTCTCACGGCGTTAGTTATACAGGTGATTGGCTTAAGAAAAAGTAAGTGGCTTTAATTCTTTGTCGGTGAAAGTCTCCTAAGAATCCTCTTCAGTTTTGCCCGGTTACTTCATTGTGTAGTCTGACTGAGTGGGATGTTTACAAATTCTAGACTTGAAATGGTGGAGCTTGAAGTAAAATAAACTGTACATAATATTCCCTTTCTGCAAACAATATATGTATTTTAAATACTCCACAAAGACATGATTACATGAGACAGTTCCCAAATTGATTGGAAATAAACATTTTTTAGGCTACATTTTTCCCCCCAGAAATAATTGTAAGATGTTTCCCCCTCTTATCTTACATTCAAAAAATTTCACAATGAGTAATATTTGAGTTAACTTACAGTATTGGGGGGAAATACAATTTAGATATATGTTAGGGTTTCTAACTCAAACTTTAGGCAATTCATTTGATACTGCCCCAGATTTTTTTCTGGCCTTTAGGAAGTTCAGGCCAAACAGCATATTGAGCAGGGAACTGTGGTCAGGGACAGCAGCCTGAGCCGGGCCCAGTGCTGGGATCTGGAGGAAACTATGCTGTTTACAAGAACTGGAAGGACTCAACCCGAGACAGCAGTGGTTTGGGCAGTAATGGAGAGAGGGAGCGGCGATGCCCAGCACAGGAGATGAGTGATGGAGAACTGCCTTGTTCATCCATTGCCAGTATGCAAGAAATGACCGTTTTCTTTGTCTGAGCTGAGGCGCAGGCAAAGGAATATCTGTGTTGTATTCTGGTAAGGTGTTAAGAGAACCTTTACTTTTGTGTGTAGGTCATCCCTTTCCTGATGAAAAATGAAATTCTTTAAAGCTCACATAAGACGTTACTGTTGAAATCTTGTGGGGCAAAAATGTCAGTGATATAACATATCCAGATACGTTTAACTTACTAAGCGAAGTGAGATGACAGAGTAGTTTAGTGGCATCAGAGAGATTGGTGGGAAATAAGGGATTCAGGTATATTAAGGTGCATAGTAGCTCTGTGTGTGTGTGTTTTGCTTATTTATTTTACCTTAAAGTTTAATATAATTTTCTCCTGAAAGGACTGACTTTGAGTGCTAGTGCAGGAAAATCCCAGTATGTATTAATGCCATTTCTTTATTCATTTGCCAATAAAACAGAAAACAAAACGAAACTGGGTATGTGACTGATTCTGGAAGAGATCTCCATGAGATCAACATAAAAGGCTTGGACTATTTAAACTATGAATTATAGACTCTTAGATATCATCCTAGTTCACTCAGACTATCAGTATCTTCTGGAGTCTATAAAGTCCACTTTTTATCAGAATAGCCAGTAGTCTCCATGGACGATCACCCTGAAGACTTGAAAAAGATTCTCTCTTCTCATCTCCCCATCCATACCTTCTGCCTCATCCTGAGTGAGTTGCCTTTGGTCGATCCATATCCTTTAGTGTATGAACCCAAGTTATCCAGTTATAAGTGTTCATTCTGGTTGTAAGTTTAAAACATTCCCCACGACATAATGGGAACATCATGTCATTCTCTCCTTGGGCTCTATGTAGAGCCAAGGATGAAATTATCAGGGTTCTTTTTTAGAACTCCGTCTTGGAAAGTCAGTCATAGCTTGGCAAACCAATACAAGAATTCTGCCAAAGGCTTTCAACCTCTAAGTCACTCTCGCTGATGGAGATGTTCAACTTTCGATTACCTCTTCTGCCATAGCTGAATGCTGTATTCACCTGCACTAAGCATAACTCAGGTGGACAGTGATTCTCCCAGGAGCCCTGTTGGATGATGGCGAGGTTATTTTGAAGTGGACATGGCAGGAGTGATACACAGCATTACCATTAGGCACATGATACTGATTGCTTGTGGCCAGGGTCCATCCTCCTTGGCTGAAGTCCCATTCTTGGTTGCGTGGTACCCATGCAATTCTTGCTACTAGATGTTAAATATTTTGACCAATCACCTGCATTCCCAATACGAATGCACTGCGTATTAGAATTGTTGTTAACTATTACATTTCTTTCTGAATTCATCTACAAATGACATCAAGAACATCTAATGATATTGTTGCATGTTTTATTTTAAAAGGTAGTTGTATGATGTACCTCAGAACCACTTCTTTTCACCTTACCCAACATGTTTTTAAAATACCTATATAGAAAAAAAATAAATAAAATACCTATGCAGGCACCCTGTTGTTTTAAAAGAAATTTACTCAATTTGTCATGAAGTAAAGTTAATTTCACATTTTTCTTTCATTAATATTCTTTATCCTTCTAGACAGTTCTGAGAATCTTGATGTCTCTTTTTATTCTATTGCTAGAAAAAGGGGGGAAGTGTTTGATGGGTATTAATTGGGGCCAGGCTCCCCCAAATCGAGATGTAATATGAAGCCAGGTAAGAGGGAAAAGAACAGGGAGCAGTGACTAACATAGTTAGGATTTCTGTTTATTTAAGTGGGGTCTAGACATCTGAAACCCCCTTTAATTTTTGGAATTAAGAATAAGGATAACAGTGCCTACCATTTGTTGCACCTGATTCCTCTTGAGCACTGTTACTCTTTCCACACAGTGGCATGTCTGAATCCAGGTGATAAATTGATCTTTGCGTTCATTTGGGTTGATTATTGCGTTGCGTGGTCTGATTGCGTGAGGAATTTGGCCAGACACGCCCTGCTGGCTGAGCCAGTCCTTCTTGTATTTGATGACCTGTGAAGGTCTGCTTTGCTCACCACTAACCCAAACCTTTCTTTCTTCTTTTTTATTTTCCAATTTGTTTAAAGACTTTATTTCAACAGCTGTTACAGCTTATTAGTCATCAAAATGATCAGTGGATGTGTTATAGTTTCTAGGCCGTAAAGCAGCTTCAGTTGCTGAGTTACTGCCACCAGACTCCCCGGAAGGCTTTAGGCTTTCAGTTGGTAGTTAGTTTCTTTTCACTGAGCCGTAACTTGTGGAAGGTAGAGTGGGAGAGGTATTTATAGAGGATCCATGTTGCTCTGTTGCAAAACTTCTATCAGGTGGCTAGTCTAGCCATTCTGGAATGAGAATTGGGAATGCTCTTGAGCAACTGAGTCAAGTGAGTGATCAGAGAGAAAACCAGCTGGGCCCTGTGGAGCTGACCTACCTGGATCCCAACCTTGAGCGTCAGCCTGGAAAATGGGGTGAGGACAGCTTGAGGATATCCCAAGTTCAGTGTAGGCGGGGAACCAACTGGCCTATTTGGGTGGGACTGTGTGTGTGTGTTGAGAGGTGGAGGGCGTGGAATAAAGTTGTAATTGCCACTGAGGAGCCTGCATACTCTGGGCCCCCAGAAACAGTCTTCCCCCCCCCCCCCCAAGAGGGCTGAGAAGTGAAGCCAATGGTGCTCAGATAAGGTAGCCTGAAAGGCTTCTTGTGGTTGCTACATATTTGCACCTCGCTTGCATTTTTTATTGGTCATTCCCATTATTAAATCTTTCATAACATGTGAGACTACTGGGACAGGGGTTCTGCACGGCTGGATCTTCCCAAAGACAAAACAAGGAAGCTTGGGAGTCCTGCCGTTCTTCCCCTGCATTCTCCTCTCAGCGCCATACTCAAGAGCACTCTCTTAAGGGTAGAAACTGGGGGCTTCTGAGAGCTGTATGCTAGAATAATGCCTGGTTCCAAGCAAGTGCTTGATAAATACCGTTTCCTAAATGAGTGAATGTGTAAGATAAGGCATCGGTATATATTCAAGGTACTGGGCTCTGCTTTATTTTCAACCATCTGTTGCCTCTGCTTTTTCTTCTCTCTTTCCCCATCACCCACACTATGGGTCTCCCAGCTGCTCATCTTACTTCTCATCTATGTGAGCCCACCTCCTCTCTCCTCATCCCCCTGCCTCACCCACCCCCAGTCATGTATGTCCTCCTTGTCTGTCACATCCCCAGAAGCCTGGGTAGGAATGTGGGCTCCTGCGACAACACAAATAGAACTTGAAGAGTGGACTTGGGAGGTGCCAAGGCCGTTTGTCCCTTCCCTTGTGTCCATTTGGAAAATCTCCTGGGTTTTGACGAAAACAGAAAGTATCAAATCTTCATATCCTGAATTAATTTGTATTTGTTATTCTGCTCCTTGCTAAACACAGCAGTGTAATTGCAAATTAGTTTTCCCTTTCCCCATTAAGTTGATTCCTTTTCCTATTGAAATATATTTGACATATAACATTATATTAGTTTCAGGTGGACATATATGAATATTGAGAAAGGATCACCACAGTAAGTCTAATTAACATCCATCGGCACATTAGAGTTACAATTTTTCTTTCTTGTGATAAGAACTTTTAAAATCACTCTCTTAGCAACTTGCAAATATACAGTACAGTATTATTAACTATAGCTACCGTGCTGTACATTATATGCCCATGACTTAATACAAATAAGTTATTGTATTTGTTATTATAACTACAAGTTTATATCGTTTATATCTTTAGACCACTTTTACCCACCCCTCACCTCTTGCCTCTGGCAACCACCAGTCTGCCAAGAATCTATGATTCTTGAGTCGTTGATTCTTTAATCATCGTTTCTTCTAAAGGAGAGCTAATGGGACCCTGTGGGAGTCCCTGCTCTCTGATGGTAATGACACAGCCCAGAAGTCCCTGCTGCCTGAGCAGGAAGTACCGGGCTTACAGTGGCCAACTCCTGTTGGCTTCTTTTCATCACATGGCAGCCCCAGAGGATGCCCTGTTAGGATTCCTTCTCCCACGTGCCTGGGATTCCCTTCCATCTTCTCTCCCTCCTCCAGTTGCACCCTTAGCCCCTGGATCATTATTTCCTCCCAACCTCCTAGGCTCAAGTAAGTAAGGAGATGGTGAGTGAGAGTGAAACTTCCCTTCAGATCTTCCCTAGCCGTGTCCTTTCCTCTCTGGTCCTGTCCCTAGACTGCACCAGATGACAAAGATGCTTACTATTTTCCAGGGCTGATACTAGAAAATGTGCCCGGAACAAGTTTTAGAAAACACAATTTTAGCACTTTTGATACATTGGACCACATTTATTAAGTGTCTCTAAGAAGCTATGACCTCAAATTTTAAACCACTGCACAATTTTCCCTCCAAACCCGACAGCATTGAGTTCAGCATCAGGTGTATTTGGTTCCTGTGGCTGCTGTAACAAAATACCACATTTAGTGGCTTAAATCACCACAAATGTATTATTGTACAGCTGTGGCGGCCAGAAGTCCAGGTGGGTTTCACAGGCCAATAGCAAGGTGTTGGCCGTGCCACTCTCCCTCTGGGGGCTCCTGGGGAGAATCCATGCCCTTGCCTTTTCCAGCTTCTAGAGTCTAGAGACGCTGCCTGCATTCTTTAGCCCCTCCTCTACCTTCAAAGCCAGTGGTACCATCTTCCAGTGTCTCTGACGCTGCTTCTGCACCACATCTCCTGCCCCCCTCTGACCCTTCTGCTTCCCTGTCACATATAAGGACCCTTGTCGTTGCCGTCAGCCCATCCGATGATCCAGGACAGTCTCCCCATCTCAACATTCTTAAAGGGGGACGTCTGCAAAGTGGCTGTGCCATGTAAGGGGACATAGTTACAGGGCCCAGGGATTAGGGGTGGGCATCTGACAAGGGCCCTCATGCAGCCTCCCACATCAGGGAAGCCACCCTGTCCCCTGGGGCTTCTCTAAAAAATGTGAATATCAAAGTACATGTTCTAACTTCTTGTTTTATTTTCAGATGCAGAGAGAACTTGTTTATGCAAGAGGAGATGGCCCTGCGGCCTCTCGACCTGGGTCCACAGCGCACCCGGCCCACGCCATTCCAAATTCTCCGCCCTCCACGCCCGTGCCCCACTCCATGCCTCCCTCCCCATCCAGAATTCCTTACGGGGGCAGCCGCCCCATGGTGGTCCCCGGCAACGCCACCATCCCCAGGGACAGGCTCTCCAGCCTGCCCGTGTCCAGGTCCATCTCCCCCAGCCCCAGCGCCATTCTGGAAAGAAGAGACGTAAAGCCCGATGAAGACATGAGCGGCAAGAACATCGCGATGTACCGAAACGAGGGTTTCTACGCGGATCCTTACTTGTACCACGAGGGACGCATGAGCATCGCCTCTTCCCACGGCGGCGCGCACCCGCTGGACGTGCCCGATCACATCATCGCCTATCACCGCACCGCCATCCGGTCGGCTAGCGCGTACTGCAGCCCGACCTTACAGGCGGAAATGCATATGGAGCAGTCCCTGTACAGGCAGAAACCCAGGAAATACCCGGACAGCCACTTACCCACTCTGGGCTCCAAAACGCCCCCCGCCTCCCCGCACCGCGTCAGCGACCTGAGGATGGTGGACATGCACGCGCATCACAGCGCCCACGGGCCCCCGCACACCCTGCAGCCGGACCGGGCCTCGCCCAGCCGCCAGTCCTTCAAGAAGGAGCCGGGCACCCTGGTGTACATTGAAAAGCCACGGACCGCGCCAGGACTCTCCGGCCTGATGGACCTCGGCCCTCCGCTAGTGGAGAAGCAAATGTTTGCTTACAGCACCGCTACGATCCCCAAAGACAGAGAGACCAGGTAAGGGGGGGGAGGGAACGAGGGGGGGGCTGTGCCCACGTGTTGTTGAGCGCGGCTCCTCAGAGATCAGACCAAGAGAACAGATGTCAGCGGAGCATTGTGCCCTGCGGATGCTGCGGCGGGCTCAGCCGAGGCTCAAAGGCCAACCTTGTCCGCGGCCTCTAAATTGTTGGGGGTCAAGTGAGGCAGACCCACGGCCCTGCTCAAGAAGGGCAGACACACCAGGAGTGCTCAGTGCAGGCTCCTGAGCGTGGGTCAGACTCCGTCATCCATAACTACATCTGAATAATTTGGAAGAAAATTGTGGTTAGCAGAAACCATTCAGACCCAGAAATCCAGAGCTCATAATAACGATCCGCCACAGAAAATAAGGAGTGAGTGGTCCAAGGTGTAGCTGTTTAAAGTGATGATTTGTGTTTTTCCTTGTGTGGTGAGATTTTGTTTTCTCATCTGGTTTGGGGAAATGGAAAGAAGGTGTTACTGGTTGTCATCGATAAAACATGAATTTGCATAAAAATAGGATGGTTTAGATTTACTGCTCATTCCAGAGTGATACTGAGATCAGCAAAATTATCTGGTTAATGACACACTCTAGCCATTTTAATTTCTGTTTTAATATACATCTACACTAATAAAAGAGAAACATGGTAATTGGCGTACGACCGCTACCCTTCCCATTGGCTAATCAGCGTATCCTTATGCAAATTAACTGTCAGCCAAGATGGCGGCCGGCAGCCATGCACTGAAGCGAGCAGGGAGGCTTGCTTCCTCCAGGAACTGCAGACTCCAACGTTCCCCGCCTCACTTGCCAGCCTCTCAACTGCAACTATAAGCAACTATTACTATGTTGCAAATAAGAAGCTAAACAAAACCGGCTTTCAGTCAGCCCCGGACCACAACATTGTATCCATGTTCTCAGCACCGAGGCCTCAGAGCTAAAGCTGGCCCAGAATAAAAAAAAAAAAAAAAAAGAAAACAAGGAGCAGTTGGGAGCTTTTAGTCAACTGCCAGCGGGAAAACAGCCCTCAGCCCCTCAGCCAGCCTGGCCAGGCACCCCAGTGGGGACCCCCACCCTGATCCAGGACACCCTTCAGGGCAAACCAGCTGGCCCCCACCCATGCACCCGGCCTCTATTCTATATAGTAAAAGGGTAATATGCCTCCCGGCACCAGGATCAGCGGAGCAGCGAGGCTCCCGGCACCGGGATCAGCGTGACAGGGGGCAGCGCCCAAACCCCCTGATCAGCCCTGCTCTGTGCCTGATAGGGGGGGAGCTCCCCAATCCCCCGATTGCCCTGTGGCTCTGTGTGTGACAGGGTGCAGCGCACCAACCCCCTGATCGGCCCTGCTCTGTGTGTGACAGGGTAGAACCATAACCTCTCCATCGGCCCTGCCCTGAGTGTGACAGTGGCGGTGCCCCAACCCCCTGATCGGCCCTGCTCTGTGGGTAATAGAGGGCGGCGCCCCAACCCCCCTCCACGGGCCTTGCTCTGTGTGTGACAGGGTAGAGCCATAACCTCCCCATTGGCCCTGCCCTGAGTGTGACAGGGTGCAGCGCCCCAACCCCTTGATCCGCCCTGCTCTGTGTGTGACAGGGGGCGGTGCCCCAGCTCCCCTATCGGCCCTACTCTGTGAGTGACAGGGGGGAGCTCCTCAACCCCCTGATGGGCCCTGCTCTGTTAGTGACAGGGGGCAGCGCCCCAACCCCCTGATCGGCCCTGCTCTGTGAGTGACAGGGAGCAGCGCCCCAACCCCCTGATTGGCCCTGCTCTGTGCGTGACAGGGGGTGGTGCTGCAACCTCCCCATCGACCCTGCCTTGAGTGTGACGGGGGGCAGTGCCCCAACCCCCCAATCAGCCCTACCCTGAGCGTGACTGAGGGTGGCATTGCAACCTCCCGATCCGCCCTGCTCTGTGCATGATGGGGTGGTGCCCCAACTCCCCAATCGGCCCTGCTCTGAGCCTGACCAGGGGCTGCACTTAGGGATTGGGCCTGCCCTCTGCCACCCGGGAGCAGGCCTAAGCCAGCAGGTCGTTATCTCCCGAGGGGTCCCAGACTGTGAGAGGGCACAGGCCGGGCTGGGGGACCCCCCCTTCCCACGGACGAGTGCACAAATTTTTGTGCACCGGGCCTCTAGTATTATTATAATTTGCCAGTCTAGAACCTTCCTACTACATTTTTAAAACTCTCCAAAGTTCATATAGTAAAAGAAAAGCTAATTTTTGATAGGGCAGTGGTTCTCCACCTTCCTAATGCCGCGACCTTTTAATACCGTTTCCTCATGTTGGGGGTGACCCCCCAACCATAAAAATTATTTTTCGGTTGCTACTTCATAACTGGTAATTTTGCTACTGGTTATGAAATCGTAATGGAAAATATCTGATATGCAGGGGGGGATTTTCATTTGTTACAAATTTGAACATAATTTAAAGCATAGTGATCAATCACAAAAACAATATGTAATTATATGTGTTTTCCGATGGTCTTAGGCAACCCCTGTGAAAGGGTCGTTCGACCCCCAAAGGGGTTGTGACCCACAGGCTCAGAACCGCTGTGATAGAGGGAATTTCTCTAGCCTGAATTGGTTAAAGGAAATCACCGTAATAATTATAATCATAAAATATCTAGTCAAAAAATGCATCCCAAACTAGTTGTCCTATAAATCCAGAAAATGTATGAAAAATGATCTACATATTTAATCATTCAGTACCTTATAAGAACCAGTGTTACCTGTTCCTCACTAAAAATGGTAGTATCACTTACTACTATTACATAACCTTATAAAAAGAAGGCCAAAATTGTGAATGTAATATGAATTGTCTATCTTACTTTTTCACACGCAAATCAGAAAGCCCTGTCCTCATTAGCAGAATTTTATCATGAAAGGGGTGTTTCTCCTTACCTCTTCAGTCACAGCAGAAAGATTCCTGGAGGATGGAAAGGGAATGAACATGGTCGTTTGGGAATCATTAATGCTCTAACAAATTCTATGCTTTCACACGAGTAAAAAAATATACTAGCAGTGGTGACTGGCTTGATTAGGTAGGACTAAGAAAAATTAAGGATTGGGAAATGATTTGTATTCTCTCCTTTCCAAAGGCTGTAGGAAGTGAAATTCTGACACTCGAAGAAAGGAACACAGACAGCTGAGGGCTATGGGAATACTGAGGCTTATTGGAATAGACCAATGTCACAACTAGAGGGAAATCTACCAAGATGAGCCTTGTTGCTCAGAAGCTTGTGCCCTGTGCTTTGAAGAAAGGGTGACACGTCCTCTGGGGTGGGCTGTAAGGGACTGATGAGAAAAACTAGTCACTTAGGGGAAGGACTTAGAATCATAAGAATTTAGTAAAGAAACTAAAAACCATTCATCTCCAGGATACTATGTGAGGGCTAGAATCCATCCTCCCCACCATCCCCTCCCCACCACCACCACCACCACCACCCCCATGCTGACTCACCTTGTGGGTCGAAGAGAATTGAGAGCTTGATTCCACCATGGATCATATTAAGCTATTTCCACCCTGCTGGGCTGTAGGCACGTTTGGGTCAATGACAGTGTATGACTTCTTTCCCAGCATGCAGTTTATAACTTAATGAGCATCACTAAGCCCAGGTTTTTCTTTTTAATTTTTATATTTTTATTATTTCAGAGAGGAAGAGAGAGGGAGAAAGAGATAGAAACAGCAATGATGAAAGAGAAGCATTGATCAGCTGCCTCCTGCACACCCACAATGGGGATTGAGTCCGCACAACCTGGGCATGTGCCCTGACTGGGAATCGAACCACGACCTCCTGGTTCATAGGTCAACGCTCAACCCCTGAGACACGCCCGCTAGGCTGAGCCCAGTTTTTTACAGCACCTGGTTATGGGAGGGAACAAAAGAACTCTCTGCTCTGTGGAGTCTTCTCTATATTGGATCAAAGTCATGAAGAATTTTGGCCTTCAGCAGTATCAGAATTCTTTTAGGGCCTCTGCTTCCTCTTTAGGTTTCTATTTTACCAAAGCTCGGAAAAAGTAGATGGATTTATGTTTTATATGTTAGAAACCCTTTTTAGAAAATCTAAATGATCTTATTTCTAGAATAACAAGTATTAGAAAAATTGACTAAAAAAGAATAATGTTCACCTAAAATATACTGTCATTATCGCTACCATATTCTGACATATGATTATAATTATGAACATAATTTTACTTTTTTTTTATTCCCTGAAATGTGAAATAACAGAGGAAGAATTTTATCTCACATCTGGCCGAGGTGATTCCTCACCTGTTAACCAGATTATCTTCAGAGGGTGGAATTGGAGTCCTTGTACATACATGAGCAGGCTAGATTCCCTTTTCCTGCAGGCCAACACACACGTGCGCACATGCGCACACACACATGCACACAAACATACACACACGCACATACATCAGCATTTAGAGTCCGCATTACTGAAACACCTAAACATCCTTAACCCAGGCACATGACATAAGTGTGTATAGAACGATTCTCTAGTAAAAAGACTTGAGTCTGGAAATTTTGCTATCAGCACTCCCACCTGTCATCCCATAGTTACCCAGATAGTCATACTTCCTCTTCAACTGTAGTTCTGAACTCTTCTAGAGAGCTTAGTGACTGAGCTGCAATGTAGTACTGCTGGGCACTACATTTATTTTATAAACTACTATTTTAAGAAGAAGAGTGCTGATGATAACTAGCTTTTACTGAAAGCCTTTTATGGGCCAAACACTGTGTTAAGTAGTTTCTACACATCTTGGGATATAATCATCATGACTCAGTGAAGTACCGGTATGTACTATCATCATTTCAATTTTACAAATGCGGGAACTGAGCTCAGAGAAGTGAAGTAACTTGCCCAAGGTCACAAAGCCACGAAGTGGCATGTAATGTTCAGGTCCATTAAAGAATCCGTACTTTTTATCAATGTGCAATATTCTGCCTGGTGCATGAGAACTCCGAGTCCTACCTTCACTGAGAAAATAAGTGAATTCTG